TAACAGCTTTATCCTCGTTGCAATGGCTTGCTTTTCCACAGCCAGTCTTTCTGGACTTCCTATCTGAGGCCGAGGTTTTTTCTTTGGAAGCACTGCCTAGCCTGGAGTCAGCAAAAAGATACCTTCCTGAGGTGCACAGCATTGAAAGAGCAAACTCTTCTCTCACTTCAAAATTACAGAAGATGAGGTTATTGTGTGAACTGACCTACCAGGCTTATTGGAAACTGTGTTTTACCTCATGTCTAGGATTGGTGTTTACCTATTCTCTAATAGCATGTGTCTCCATCTTTCGGTAGTTTTCCTACTCCTTCTCAAGGCCATAATTAATCCCTGTATGTCAGTCATGAGACTGGCATGGGTCTCTGGAGGAAGATCTGTTTGTCAGGCCCTATATTGCACCCATTCCAGGTGGGAGTGAATTGATCTACAGGATCCTTCAACTGCTTTTGCAAAGACCTATACATATCTGGGTGCTTCCTTCTTGGGTCTGTTTCCTAATAAAAGGTGCTTGCTGATGACTTCCTACTACTTGTACAGTGGGTAATGAACTTAGTAATCAAGTCGAGCTACAATAATCACAACTTTCGAGTTGCATAATGTACATTATCACACAAACTTAACAGCAAGTCGTTAAAAACTAAGCTATAAGCAAAACTGCAAGTTTTAAAGTAAAGTTACTTGTACGGTTGGCCCTCAATACATGAAGGAGCCTTCTGGGTTGTAAATTTGCTGATACATAAGATGCAGACATAATCAAACTGGATTAGTACAAGCCAGTACTGGTCTGAAAGCTGTTGTTGGTACCTCAGGAATCACATCATTTAGTGCCACCCTTACCATCCTCATTTTCCTGCCACATTCTCCTGCTACGTGTCAGACTTACTTAAAGGAAAAACAAAGGTAACGAATACAGCATTTGCTCTCTCTGCATCACCCAAATAGGATGACATTTACTAAATCTCAAAATTACACATAAAGAATTAGCAATGACTCCAGGGTTGGTTTCGTTTGTCTCTCTCAAATAGTAGCTCCTAAATCTTCTCTGGTATTTATATCATTTGAATAAATTTTAGACTTAACAGAGCTCCTTAAACACAAGTAAAAAAATATGAAAGAGCAAATACAAGAGAATAAAAACACCCCATCTTGGTGCAATAATTTCCTAAAACACCTGATTATACTTAAGTTTTAGCTGTTGCTTTTATGTTCCCTTTATACAGCCCCCACAAGGAATGAACTAGGACATTTTTTGCTACAGCAAAGAGATTTTCCAGTATTCTTAACTAACCAATTGTTTTTTCAAATACTTCAAACAGATTTCCTAATACATTATTGTTAAAAATATATAAAAACAGATTAAAATTTCCAATAGAGCTCCCAAAACCAGCAAGTAACGCCCAATTGTATTGAGTTTATAGATAAATTACGGCCAACGCTTTGAGACAAGCATTGGAAAGGGTTTTCAGAATCAAGTAACCAATAATGGCACAGTGCCCTGTCTTTTTCCTCACATCATTAACTTTTTTAAACTGTAATTGAAACTGTGTTACATGCAGTGAACTGAAAATAAAGCAGTGGGGTGTTTTGGGTTTCTTTTTTTAACTTTAAACATTTATTTTTAGAAATAGCTACTGTACAAACAAGAAATCTTAAGCGTTGCACAAAGTTGCAAGATTGCAGTAAAATAGCTTTATCAGTCTGGAAAGCAAGCCACTTTCACTGGCAGCCTAAGATAAGCCATTCTAGTGCACAGAAAGCTTAAAAGCCACACGAGTTTCAGATTGTTGAGCAACGATTGATTTTAGATTGAAATTATTGCAGATGTTTTGAACAACATAACCTCTTCCTCGAGGTGACCCAGTTTCAGGTGAATGCTGTTTGTAAATTACTTTCAGGAACTTCTCAGGCATGGCACACAATTTCTTTTAACTGAAGTAACAGAAGTCCTGATTGGAAGGCACAGGTTACAAAGAGCACAAGCAGTCAATACTTCTGAACCAGAAGTAAGACTCAGGTCAGAAACAGAAAACACAAGCTATGATAATTATATGTTCAAGGAAGTAACTGATTACAGAAGTCTCAGCTGGGCCAATAACATTTAGCTCTTAAGTCACACTAGGATCGTCTTCCATCTTCATTCTTTTTTCCCTTAGTAGTCAGTTTGTAATATGCTTTGGATTAATCTCACGATATTCAATTGTGCCACTGTTAACTTCCAAAATATTGCAGACATCACCAACATAGAAAAAAAGAGAATCTTTTCAGAAACTGGCATTTATTCTATCAAAACGTTTCCTACCAGAGTATCAACAAAGTTGTCATAAACTATAACCAGCAGAAAGCATGTCCATTATAACACTACAGATTTTAGTGAATTTATTTTATTATATAAACAGACATGTATTAGGAGAACTAACACGTTCTTGCATGTGACCTCAGCATAAAGTACTTGCCAATGTCAGTAAATCAGCTGGTTCAAGATAAATTAGAATATATAATTTAGAACCACTCAAGGGAAAAAAAAATAGGGAGAAATGACCTTTGGCAAGAAATAAGTTAAATATTAATGAATCTACATTTAACTAAGACATACAGCTAAATAAATGGGGGAGGAGGGAAGGGGGAGAGAGACAGTCTTTTAGATTAGCCCTCACCTTTCAGACCACTTGAAGATATTCAGTTAAATTTAATAAAGGCATTTGAAATGACTAAGCATATAGACTGAAAATGAAAAAAAACACACCATAAGGAACGGTGTATTTAAATCTGTTATAAATTGAAAAACACAGTAGCAATTGCATAGTATATACTAAACTGAAAGGTAGCAGAAAAGCAAATTTGAAATCCGGACATATGTTCAAGGGTACACAGTGAGAGACAGAATTAGTGACAATAATATTTAGAAAAATCACAGAGTTTCCTCTGTGAGAACTCAATGAACTTCTGAGAGGCCGATTTATGCAACTATGAACTTAACCTCAGCCTACTTGCTGCCATCTCCTAGGCTACTGACAAACCCTGTCAACTCCACAGTTGTGGAGACTGCCACGTTTAACAAAAACTTCTAAGCTTAAATGTTCTTCCAAACTTGATTCTCTCATTCAGTTCTTCTGCGAAAGAATGACTCCTGTCTAAATAGAATCATAGAATGGTTTGGGTTGGAAGGGACTTTAAAGATCATCTAGTTCCACCCCCCCTGCCATGGGCAGGGACACCCTCCACTACACCAGGTTGCCCAAAGCCTCATCCAACCTGGCCTTGAACATTTCCAGGGAGGGGGCATCCACGACTTCTCTGGGCAACCTGTTCCAGTGCCTCACCACCCACAATGTAATAAATTTCTTCCTTAGATCTAATCTGAATCTCCCCTCTTTCAGTTTAAATCCATTGCCCCTTGTCCTATCACTACACGCCCTTGTAAAAAGTCCCTCTCCAGCTTTCCTGTAGGCCCCCTTTAAGTACTGGAAAGCTGCTATAAGATCACCCCGGAGCCTTCTCTTCTCCAGGCTGAACAGCCCCAACTCTCTCAGCCTGTCTTCATAGCAGAGGTGCTCCAGCCCTCGGATCATCTTTGTGGCCTCCTCTGGACCCTCTCCAGCAGCTCCCTGTCCTTCTTGTGTTGGGACTCCAGAGCTGAACACAGTATTCCAGGTGGGGTCTCACAAGAGCAGAGTAGAGGAGCAGAATCCCCTCCCTCGACCTGCTGGCCATGCTCCTTTGGATGCAGCCCAGGATACGGTTGGCTTGCTGGGCTGCCAGCGCACATTGCCGGCTCATGTTGAGCTTCTCATCCACCAGCACTCCCAAGTCCTTTTCCTCAGGGCTGCTCTCAATCCATTCTCCACCCAGCCTGTACTGGGTGGAGAATGGATTGAGAGCATAATGAATGTAAATGAATTATGAATTACATTATCATAAATGAATTATGAATTACTGAACTGCATACATAGCATTCAAACAGAGCCAACTAAATCTATAATCAGCCCAGGAATTAGCCAAACGTTAAAGTTATCTTAAGAAGGGCCACAATTAAAACAGCAGCACCTCTTAACCAACACCTATACTATGTTAGTAAGATCCCGAGTTGGAGAGAGGGAATTAATACAAGAACACAAGTATGTTCTGGATGCAGTAGCCTTCAAATTCATGTGTTATGTAAAAATTAGTCCACCAGAAATGGAAACACATCTTTCAGTTAACAGGGCTTACTCAGTTCAAATGCATTCTACTGTATCACTAGAAACTTGCTCAGAAATAAGACCCAAACTTCACCGTTAACTGCAATTTTTTTTTTTTTAAAGATGCAACACTTGCTTGTACGAAGGTCAACCACTTCCCACTGAACAAGATGACAGAACTTCTGCGCAACGATCATACAATCTCCGATCCAGTTTTGAGGGTTCTTTTGAAAGCTTTGTATTTCAAACGGAAACTGATTTAACATAGAGCAATTCCAATGACTTCTATACTGCTTTTCCTAATCCTTTTACATTAATTGCTTCCATAGCAAAAGTTTAATTATTTTTGAAAGGAAAACAGGCTAGTACTAGAATCAAAGTGGAAAAGTACTGTTCAGAACAGCACTAAATATTTTTCACTGAGAAATCCCTGCGAACTTGATTGTTTCTATATATGGCATGTCTACAAACTGTTGCTTATGAATTATTTAAAATCATAGAATCATAGAATTGTCTGGTTGGAAGAGACCTTCAAGATCATCGAGTCCAATTGTTTTAAATTTCACAGGAAAGTACTCCAGCCTTCACCCGGAAATAATAACAAGTTCACCCAATTCTTGCTGATGACAGCAAAAAGACTTCTACTAAGTTCATCAAGCTGCAGTTAAGACCTACGCATTCTGATAGTGAGTTTGCCTAAATCTGCCATCATTTCAAAACACATGTAAGATTTGTAGTACATATTCACATGCAATCACATACTTTCGTCAGCAACACACTGAGGAAGACAGAGAAAGAAGGAAGAAATAGTTTTTTCTGTACCTGGCAAGTCTGAAAAAAGGAGAATGCATTCATTGAATCCATTAGCCAGAAGACGATCCCTCAGTTGTTGAAGTATTGCAACTCCAATGCAGAACGGGAAGGAGGAATTTCCAAGCAGTAACGTATCCCACAAGTGAAAAATTTTGTGCAAAGGAAAGACATCTGCATGATGAACAAGCACGATAAAAACACCTATAAGAATATAAGTTGATAAAAACATACAGATGTACACTCTTTAAGGAGTTGCCTATATACTTTCCTCCTCTCCCATCTTATGGTTATTTCTTTTTTTATTGGCAGCAAAAAGGACCCAACCTGTTTAGAAACAGATTTGTCTTCATATGTAGTTTGATTATTCTAGAAATCATCAGCGTCTTCTTTCATTATTAAATACTTAGAAATGTGCAGGTTTTCAAATTTCAAAACACATACACATACAAAATTAGGCAATTTATTTTTCTTTTGGTAAAGTGCAATGAGTTAATCAATAAGCTCAACTACTTAAAATTAGACAAGAAAATGAGCAAAATAGACAAAAAAATGGTGGAATAAAGAAAAGACAAGGAGAAAGGTCTGTTAAAAACGGCAACATTTTATATATAAAGCTGAAGGTGGCTCTCCTAAAGTAAGCTATCCTTCAACTAAATAGTTCTAACATTTTATTGCAATTCATCACCAAAGAAACCATCTCTTTGGTTTTCCAAAGGTGGTGATTCTCATGAAAGTTTTAGAAGAACAGACAAGTGCAAGAACCAGTGCTTTACAGTCAAGATCTTTAGAAATGGAAATCAAGAATCTCACATTAAATTCTTTGATATTTCATCAGAGCAATTATCCATCAGCTCTTTTCATCCTGCCACTTTTTTTTTTTTTTAATTCAAAGTCTGCCAATATTGACATGAAATTAAAAAAAATCAGACATCTTTGAGGAAAGATTTTGAATTGCTTTCTAGACTTGCTTTAACAACTTTGTCCTCTTTCATTAAAAGCTCACCAAATTATAAAGCTCTTTTTGCTCCTAACATCCACACACAGACATCATGGTAAACTAGTGCTAGCAGAATAACAATGTGTCAAAGTGCAATAAAAAAAAACTTGTTTTGTTGGCCTTCAAAACCAAAGTCACTCACTCTCTTACATTATCGTGAGGGCAGGGGAAGGTGGTGAGGTTTGGTTTGGTTTTGTTTTGTTTTTTTTTAACTATTATTATATCTTTTTCCAGTAGATAACAGCTTCCTTTGCACACTCCCTAAATACTGCATGTGCAAAATAATCCCGTTCAAATTTAGTACAATATTTTTTTAAAAAATATAAGAAAATGCTAATTGTCAAAACAGGGCAGAAAGTACGTGCCAGGCACTCTTGAGACTCAGACTACAACACACATCCTTGCAAATTACAAGCGACCTACTAAATGATAGACACATCACACCAATTAGGAAGGCTTTAGCTGAAAAAGTGAGAAAAATTATGCTTAAGAAATACAAGAATATTTAATTGGAGAAAAAGAACATATACTCACGTGTAAACATTGTGAGAAACCAAGGAATGGCATATAGCTGCAAAAGGTGGTGGAGGGAAAAGAAGGAAAAAAACATGTTTTATTAAAAGTTGAAGTTGTTTGTGACTATTTCCTATCACATTAAAAAATCGACTAGCTTGGCACGAATATATTTAAAATGGGAAATAACTGCAGTATCTGAACCACTATCACACAGATTTTATCCCCTCAGAGAAGATTTTTTTTTCTCCCCCCAGGTTCCCATTCTCATTTCTTTCAAATTACTGGTTTGTGATAATGTGTTGAAAACAGCAAGAAAAACAACCACCGCTCTTAGTAGGCTTATGTTTGCAAAAAACCGCCAAAGTCTTAAAGAACTGAAAAACCTGCTCTATTAAACTGCCACAGTTCTCACCTTACATATATATATCGCTAAGCGTAAATTAGCAAAAGATGCCTAAACGAGGATAAGACAACTTGATTCAATATATCTTTTTGACTATGGAAAAAATGTGGTTCTATGCAAGTAATTAAAAGTGCAAATCACAATTTTCAACAGAAAAACTAACCATATCTAGCTTTTTCTCCCATGTTAGTATTTATTAAAATATATTACTTGTCAGTGAAAGGCAGTAAGAATGGTTTCATTCTCAAAAGCATATAGTGGCAGCTACTAACACCTTAATTATTTACGTTGTTCTGCTGTGACCTTTAAAGGCAGGTGTCATCTGAAGAACCTGAGGCTGCTTCAGCACTTAACACTAGTATGGGACTAAGAACTCTGCTGCTGCAATGGGTAGAAAAACCCTTTCATTTCTGCAAACTTTCATACTGATGACATCATACAGAGAAAATTCAGCACTCATTAGAAGACTTAAGCATTTATGACACCTAAAGAGTTTCTCAAATTTCACTTAACTATTTAATATGTTGAAGGCAACGCTTTTCACGGAACATCAAACTGCACAGAAAGTCCCCACAAATTAGGAATGCAAAAGCAAGACGGCCATTGTTAAATTTTACTCAGTTGCACAGATCATGTGCTCTGTTTCCCACTTCTGAAGATTTACAGTCAGACATAAAGCTTAATATATTACTTTTCAGCTCATAAAAAGTGCAAATTAGTCCTCCTATTAAGCTTTCCCTGGAAGCAAGCAAATGAGAGGCAGAAAGCATAATTGATATTATGTTAATAAATTACTACTTATTCCATAAACTCTTAACTGGATTATGGCACTGATTAAATGATGCACGCATTTTCTGAAAAGCTCTTTAGCACAGCGCACTCTAAATTTTTTTCCTACCTCTTCATCTGAGCATCTGATAGTATGTGAACCATACCGTCCATAAAACTGAAAAAAAGCTGTGATGACCAGGTTGTTGGCCACTTTCAATATTCAAGAGGCTTTTATAAAGCTTGGTCTCCAACCTGCCAATTGATTTTAAGGGTTCGGAAACCAAAATAAATTCATTTCTATCACCATTTTCATCTTCCCTGAGTATATCCTTCTACCTTCAACAGATAGCGTTCTGCTGGATAACAACATACCCTGTTCCCTGAAATATTCCCTGCAAGGGTTGAGATCCAGTAATACCTGTTTACCTGGCTTGACTGTATGAAATATTTTGCCAATATCTTGCTTTCCGTGCAGTAGGAAAACAAGCATTTCTAATAGCCTGAGGCTTCTCTTTGCTTGGAGGTACACATTATGTGGACGTCATGTTGAATTACATTACATCCTTGGTATTTAAAAGGAATTATTTCCTCGTTTTCATATATTTGATTAAAATGTTTTATCAAAGCAGATCCACGCTTTCTCCTAATTTCACAAACACCTCTATCTTGTATGTATCTACATATAAATACACAAGAAAATACGCAAGATTTGAAACATTATTAAAAGGTAACCACAAAGCACTGCTTTGCTCTAAATCATCCTCACCAAACCTATCAACAACGACATGAAAGGCAGGTCAAACTGTTTAAGTAGAAGGTATCAGGCAAGGTTTTATTGAAGGCATTTTTCCCTCTGATTTTCATAACTATAACATTCTAAGAGAAGGACGTCTCAGTAAAACGGAAGAGGTTATGATTACTGTTAATAAGCAAGTAAAGAAAAGCCACCACACTGGTGGTATCATTCCACCATGCAAGCCAAATTGAAAAACACAGACAAAAAGAACTGTGCTGACTTGGAAGTCCTCAAATAAACAGGCTACAGAGTTCTTACAGTTAAATGACTCCGCTTTTAACACACTGCTAGTACATAGTGCCCTCTAGCAACCACCGGCTGGAACGGCGTGGTGCCACGCTTCTGTACCAACAAGCTGCTGTTGAAGAGGTTTCCAACTCTTCATTGAAACACAGTGAGGCTGGGTTTTTTACTGATGCTTAACTCTGCGTAGATGTCTACTTGTCCATAGTTAAATGGGCATATTTTAGGAAGAGTGCATCTCCCATTAGATATTCGAAGCTCTTAGAGATATTGGCTCAAATCTTGATGAAAGCTTCTTCCATGAGGATTTTTTTATTGCCGTTATTACTGTCTGGATTGTTTCATTATTTGACTGTTCCTCCATGAGAGCTTTACACACCTGTGTCTCCAGCAGATTGAGATTTCAGTCGTAAAGACAATAGTTTTAAAGATATTTAGGCTCAGGGGATTTTGATTCTCAAGATGTTTTAGAAGGAATAACAAGGTGAAAATGAATGTTAATGTTTGTTGGTGGGAATGGTAGGGAATATTAAAAGAAATATGCAAGCTGCTTGCTCTGTGAAAAGTCTGTAAGAACCAAGTGGCTGTCCTGTGTGATCCAGGTGCACCTTAAGAACATTGTAAGGTGGCTACAGTGAAGCTATGTACGTGGTTACAGGATAGCAAAACTAAATTATATAAAATTGTAGGTTTGAGTTTTCAAAACATTAAAAATGCCAACATTCTTCACAAGTTCTTGTTTGTTATGCGTATATATAACACTCGAGTTTAACAAAAAATCTCTAAGAAAATTCAAAAATCTCTAAGAAAGTTCACCCTCCACATCTCATAGAATTACAGACCTGAGATCCAGGTTAAATACCTGCAGTTTTAAGGATAACAAACACAATAGGAGTAATTATTATTCCTGCAATGTTTTATAGAAGAAACCTCACCTGACCATCTCATTCAATGCAGCACGTTGTTATAAACTGGTACATTGTCATGTCTCCATCATTACAAAAATAATTTATAGTTGGATAACATGAAACTCTTAGGCTACAAAACGTATTTCACACTATTTTCAGTGTTCAAGACTTTTATGTTGGATGTTTTCCTTCTCAATGCTGAAGTCACATTTACAGGAATATAGGAACTACCACAATCAATGGCAACGTGGGCAGGCATTCTACCTCCAACAGTGAGTAGCTCATTTGCTTCAGGAGAACATGCTACAAACCCTGCAACGGACAGTTGCAAGATACTTTGTCTGCGATGCGAGCCTGCTTTCCACACACTTTAGGCAGGTACTAGCTTAAACGACACAGAAAAGGATTCAGAAAAGGTATCGTATATTTCTTTTCTTATTGAACCCAGTAACAATCCCAGATATAGGGAAATGGGGCCTACAAGAAAGGTGGAGAGGGACTTTTTACAAGGGCATGTAGTGATAGGACAAGGGGCAATGGATTTAAACTGAAAGAGGGCAGATTTCAGTTAGATACAAGGAAGAACTTTTTCACTCAGAGGGTGCTGAGGTGCTGGAACAGGTTGCCCAAAGAAGTTGTGGATGCCCCATCCCTGGAGGTGTTCAAGGCCAGGCTGGATGATTCTATGAATATAGAATCATAGAATGGTAAGAGTTGGAAGGGACCTCAAAGCAAACACCACCTAGTCCCACCCCCCCTGCCACGGGCAAGGAAACCCTCCACTACACCAGGTTGCCCAAAGCCTCATCCAGCCTAATAACTTTTTTTTTGTGTATTTTAGCTGTATCATAGATCATGGTTTGTATGAGGTGGCAAGGTCAAAAAGCCTAATAACTTTTTTTTTGTGTATTTTAGCCGTATCATAGATGACGGTTTGTATGAGGTGGCAAGGTCAAAGATAAAAAGTTTTTTTTCTTTTTTTGTTTTCCCGTCTATGAAGTTGCTGGGTTGTTCTTCTGGTTTTGTTTTTGTTGTTTTTTTTTGTTGGTGTTTATTTTGGGTTTTTTTTGCCTGTTTGATGTATGTGTGAAAAAAGGTTGTCCAAAAATAAACTGAAATTTTATTTTGCTGAGTTGTCATAGAATCATAGAATGGTTAGGGCTGGAAGGGACCTTCAAAGGTCATCTAGTCCAACCCCCCTGCAAGGAACAGGGATATCTCCAACTAGATCAGGTTGCTCAGGGCCAAACAAGGCCTAACAAGGCTGTTTCCCAACTGCTGCTTTTTGGTTTAATTTTCATTTGTTAGAGAAAAAACAGTTTTTGCTCTCTACAGCTTCCTGAGGAGGCGAAGTGGAGAGAGAGGTGATGATTTCTTCTCCTTGGGATGGTGGGAATAGTTCAAAGCTGCACCAGGGCAGGCTCAGACTGGACATTAGGGAGCATTTCTTCACCGAGAGGGTGCTCAAACACTGGAACAGGTTTCTTAGAGAGGTCGTTGATGCCCCAAGCCTGTCAGGGTTTAAGAGGCATTTGGACAATGCCCGTATCATGATTTAACTTGGTTGGCCCTGAATTGGTCAGGCAGTCGGACCAGGTGATCATTGTAGGCTCCTCCAATTGAAATAATCTGTTCTATAAAACCCTGATCTTGCACCTTCATGTTGTCTTTGAAATACATACACATATACTTAGCTTCAAGCCTAAATGGTGCCTAGACAATTAATCATATATTCAAATGCTACAGAAAGGTGCAAAAATGTTTTGATGACTGGGGATGCAAAGAGAATCAAATTGAGTCCAATTTTTAATATTAGATTCCACTCACCTGTATACACCTAGACAAACAAAATTTGAAGAATGATCACTTTTACCATAAGATAAAAATACAGCAAGAAACCTCTCCCCTAGATTCACCACTAGGCGACTGTGCAACAGAACAAACAGAGATAAGTACTTCCATCGCAGGACTTTTAATTCTCAGTTACATGAAGCCCTATTACTGATGACTCCTGCATATCACCAAAACCAAGCCAAGGTATCTACCTATGACAGCAACTCCAGCACGATGACATTAGGTAACTGCAGCCAGATTTCATCATCTCTGTCAATGCCCAGCCCACAACTGACAACTGTGTGTAGATTCCATAATTGGCATCTGAAAGCTCTTTAGAATAATTTACGGCTATAGATAACCTTTTAGTAATGTAGCACACTTCCTTGTTTTTCTTCAGTTCAAAATGTTCTGTTGCTGATGTCAGAATTATTCAGTAAAATATAGAATGTGCTATAAAGCATTATATAGAGAGATCACAAACTTTGGGAGAGCGAGCAAAGAAGAACTGTAAGATTCACCGTACACATCCCTCTATTTACATGTAAATCACACAGTCACAGCAACGTACTTAATCCAGGCACCACGCCAGCTAACAATATTCACAACTAGTCAAGCTTCAGCAGCGTTCAACATTCTTAGAGCTACGTGACTTGAAGCAATTGGGAAAGGTGCCAGGAAACACAGTCTTTCCTGCAGCAGAGCCTGCATTTCAATGATGAAAGATTAATCAGGGTTTACTTTGATAGGATTAGTACTCGAGCACGAAACTCTGGTTCAGTTCTCATTACTACAGTGCATATCCTTCAGCTTGATGGATCCTGTGCTGTCTTGTTACAGGTACAAAAACCACCTTTCTCACTAATCTAAAAGGCAGAACAACTTTTATCTATTAAAAAAACAACCACGATGATTTAGAAAGGACAACCTGTCTTCAGAGGTTAGTGTTAATTTTAGAACTTGAAATTGTATTCGATGCAAAGTTATTTTTTTAAAAAACACCTACCTCTGTTTTCTAATTATTTATTGCATTACCTAATCATCTCTAGATTGTAACACTTAGAGACAAGGCTTACCTTTGACTATGCGCTGTCCAGTGACCAGCACAACACAAAAACTAAACTATAAAAAAACAGGTGATTTTAAACTACTCCATCTCACTTGCACCTTGAAAGTTTTTAGTGGAGAATTATAACTGTATGAGCAGACACTAGGAGCTGCTGAAATATCAGCTAACACTCAAGATGGGTTGCTACAGAGCTATCATGTAGGTTAGTACCAGAAACAGGGACCTGTAAGATCGTCAGGGAAAATCCATCTCTACCTCTTGAGTGGAAACTAGTATCCTGGACAAAATACACAGAGAAATTGCTTTGGTCATCCACAGTCTTTAACAAATAAATATCAAGTGTATTTACATAGAAATGCTGCAAAACTGATTGTCCCTCAGAAACTTAAATGTTGCTGTTACCCATGCCCTTCATTCCCCCAAATATTTAGGCTTTCTACAGATGAACGTTCTCCCTTCTCCCCACCTTCCCTTCACCTTCCTCCTACCCCCTTCTCTTCACATGCAGGGCATCAGCAACACGTGGCCTTCTCAAACATCTCTCTCTATAATGCAATGCACTGGTTTGCTCTTCTGCTCATTTTAATGCCACAGTGTCTTTCAAATTCCTATCATTCATAAGCAAAATTCTTACACTAAAATCACCTCCACAAATGAAAGCATATATTTGCTTTTCAATTACAATCTTTGTAAACAGTGATAATGAGTATCTGCCAGTCCCAAAGACACACAAATTCACCCAGGAATTGTGTACAACAAACGACTTTCAGAGGCTTGGCCTTGCTGCTTCAAGTTAAAGCATTTCCTAATAAGCATAAGGCTTTTCTGATAAAATAAGCTTTGTATTGCTTATAAAAGAAATGCATATAAATAACTTATTTACCAAATCTGTATTTCTACATCAAACATCTCCTGACTTCAGTTTCATTCTTCCATTTTCACCTCTCAGTCATCATCATCTGTTCTTACAACCAACTTTTAATTACAAAATTTCTAAACATCAAATATATCACGATATAGACCGTATCAATTAACCATGTTCTCTCTATGCCTTCTCTCCTCTTGCCTAAATCTGCTTTTAAGAAATATAAGCTATAAACTTTGGTAATGCTATAGTAGGCAGACAAACATTTTTATAGAGTATTATCTTGGCTTTCTGGGGTATACACGGCACCCTAAACAAAGGAGGAAAGCTTCACTATTTACAGAGATACCTAAAAGTGAGGCTCTAAAGGAGGCCTTGTTTTGCTTTTTCCAACATAGCCCCTCTTCTCTTCTACATCTACATTTCAGCTGTTCTTGGTTTTCATTTTCCTCCATGTTCCAGACTTCTTCCAATAAAAGCACAAAACTTGGACACAAGTTATGCACTTGTCCAATGTTTCTGATAGAGTCCAACAAATGGCAGCTAACCTTTCCCAAGGGCTGACACATCTACAGATAAACTATCACTTGCACTTTTTTTTTGTATTACCTGCAAATTGACGTGTCTTTTGTTTTAACCAATGGCATTTAATTAGTCTGCAGAAATTTTGCTATTAGTCATTTATGGCCACATTAATTTTTGTATATTAAGCTACTCTTTAAAAACAAAATTATATACATCTTTTAAGATGAATCTGTAAGCTATAAAAACTGACTAGTAGTATTTTTATTGTGTTTACTATCCCAACAAAACAAGGACAGAGGTATGTAAAACAACAATCAAAATTTTACCATTTTATGAGCATACTCAGAAAAGTCCATAAATATGGAATTTTCACCTATATCAAACTGCTACTGAAAGATTCTGGAAAGGCATCTCATCCTAATTGCCCTCATGTTCCATTTTTTACTTCCTTCGAACAAAATTTATAAGAACCCTTAGCACTTACATCTGGAATAAAACCAATTTCATTAAGGTGGTTACTCAGCTCTGGATCATGGAATGCAATCATCTGGGAAAACACCGTCAGGTATTCTGAAATGACAAGCAAATTCAAGATCATCATCAAAACACAAGCCACTACATGATGCTAGCTCACAATTGAGCTGTAGAAAAGGAAGAACACATTTTTTTTTAATTTTTTTTTAAACCTACAATAAAACAACAAATGAATACCACTACTGTCCTTCTTGTCACCATTAAATTCAATACAGAGGAAGAAGCGTTTCATTTCACTTTCTTAGTACTTCTCAACTTGGATTTTCAGCAATGGTTTACCTAGTTCATACTTAGGTTGTTACATATGTTCCACATGCAAAGTTAAAGATTTTTCAGGATGAGTAAGAGCCACAGATATTGATTGAAGCAAATTAGAACAAAACTGTTCCAATGATTTCTGAGACCCAGACTGTTTTAGCGATATACAAAGTTTATTCTATTCTGTGTGGTTTCTTTTCTACAAAGTTAAATTTTGCGATCTGGAAGTTGAGGTTTTAAGGCAAGAGGGCTTTAAGGTTACTATTTCCATGATCAGTAACATCTTAATTTGTATTTTTTGTAACAGAGAATACTTATTGTAAAAGACAAAATTTATTACATCTTCAGCACGGCTCATTAGGCTGACGGGTACAATTTCATTAAGTTATCTTATTAACACTTGCTTTTAATTGGAAGAGAAGCAGACAGCAGAACACAGACACTGACAGATTCCTCTCTGTTCTGACCCTCTCCCAATTTCATCCACACTGTCATATGCTTTGTTAGAAGGAAGATGAAGAGGCAATAACATTGTAGTTTCATAACAGATGGCAATTCCTTTTCCTCCATGCTCCCAAGAAGAGAATAATTAGGGCCTAGACAGCTGGTTGAGGGGAGGAAGAGAGAGAGAATGTGAACCCTGCTCTCAGATCAGACTATGCTGACATCTCAATGTTCCACAGACTACTGTTCCCAAATATAACCCCCCCAAACACTAAGTCCACACAGCTCCACAAATTAGCCATTCAGAGTTGCCATTGCTTCCTTTAAAGTCTATTGTAAGGACTAGATGTCTGCTACTATGTCTCTTGGGGAGAGCAAATGACTCCCTATTACTCTGTTTGTCTTCATCCCTGAAGTGGCAAAATTAAATTCCAATTCCACTGCTATGAAGCACAGAGGTGGCTCAGCTGGGATAATTCTACACATAGACACCTTTAAGAATAGAAGTGTGTCTAAACACTCCGTTGTTTATAGACTCCTATCTTTCTTAAATCTTAATTATCTGCATTCAAGTCAGCTCCTCTCAGGTTAAGCCAGCAAGTTAAGAACAATCGCTCTGTAAAATAATCCTATTTGGACTAGAAATTTTAAAAGCTGATTCTGCCTCAGGTGGACTGATAAACAATGCTCTCACTGTAAGAACACAAGGGAAAAAATCCACAGTCCTACTGCAAATTACACCTGAAAGGATGCCTAATTCTCCAAGGTAAGTTGCAATAAAAATTAAGACCTCTTGAGCCTACTTAGAATTTCAGAACTTTTGCTTCAAGCTGCAAAGACAAAGCCACAGCACATTAAACTTCTTAGCACATTAAGCATCGTAGGAGTGCCAGCCTCTGCCCTCTGATACTGCATCTCTATGATGCTACAGAGACCCTGGCAGCACTCAGCTGGGGAGTTCGGTGGGTAAACAGACCCATGCTGAATTTTGTGTCACAAAGGCCAGACTGCTTTGAAGCTACTGACATACCTCATGCTTTCTCAGTTTCAAGCCAAAGTTATTTTTATTCACATGCATACAAGTTGGGGAGATAACTGAATCCATGCCTTAAATTCATACCACACTATGTTAATAATTTTTTAAAAGTGCATCTCTAAGGTGCATCTTACATCAGTTTTATTTCATGAAACAGCCAGTAATCACAACAGGTATAGCAAACCAGTAATCCTACAAATTCCTACACATTCAGGCATATGCTGACAAAAAAACCTTTCACAATTAGCTTCCTTGAAGCACATTTATTTTTAAAATGAAGATTCGTGCCCACAATGGTTCGCTACAGATATACTACAGGTTGATAAAGAACATCTTTATTTGACTAGCCAGTCTCATGAAATATAATTACTGTGTGGGATTACATGGTTAATTAAGGATCTATGAAAACACACAAATCATCACAAAAATGTATGACTTACATCCAGTCAATTGCTGTTGGTCAGAATTTTATTACGTGAATTTTTTGTTTTACATAATTAGGCATTCCATACCCAAACCCTGCTCTTGCTTCCTATTTCATGTAAGGAAATACATCTGACAAGCTTAGAAAAAACACCTGTCTTCAATGCACAGGACAAGCTCAGAAATGAGGTATGTTGAACTCTGCAGTTCGAAATATTCCTCCCATCCACCCCTACATGGAAGACACAAACAGGCTGAAATTGCAGTAGGCAGTTAAATGACACATTCTCAACACTTTCTTCTAACCCAATAAAGTAGGGAAATTACACGGTATTTTCCTTTAGAACTGTATTTAGAGAGTGGTGTTTGACATACAACCCTGGGAAGGATTAAATCAGAATACTGAAAGAATCCTAAAAGGTCTGGTCTCTCCGAGTCCTTGATGATGCCAGATGTTGCACAGGAACTCGGTAACACCTACACTACTTTGGTTCACAGAATCCTACTGGCCTATATTTCTGACTTCGTCTGATACATATTTTCATAAAGCCCCTTAGGAATAACATCAGGGAACTCTAGAGAGAAAAGTATTATTTTATGGAAGAGTATACACCCTTGAGAAAAGTCTTTACTAAGCTAATAATCTTAAAGTCTAAGCGGTTGTCTCCACATCCTGCTCCACAGGAGCATCTGATACAATATACTTACTCTTTTCATGTTCAGACGTTTACTGCCCCTTTTTTTCCAGCCAGCACTCTGCATCCTTTTGTCTGTAAACGAGTTCTCCTGAATAGCTTTTCCACACATCCTGCTCCACAGGAGCATCTGATACAACATACTTACTCTTTTCATGTTCAGACATTTACTGCCCCTTTTTTTTCCAGCCAGCACTCTGTTTGCATCCTTTTGTCTGTAAAGAAGTTCTCCTGAATAGTTTTTCCCAACTATTATTTTACATATTCAGTTCATAAAACCTCTTACCCATTGTCTTTCATATGTAAACTCTCCTAACCAGTGTTCTCTCCTTATGTTAGCTCTCTCCTGTTATCTAATATGTAACTGCTTTTACATCTAATTACTTTTTGTTGATCAGTTCTTAATTTCCTTTCGTTTTTTGAAGACAAAAACTGACAGACACCGTTTCTAAATTGAGAAGTTTCCCAAGTTAAATACAAAAGAATTTATTTACAAGAAATACAAGGACAGCAAGCCATGCTGAAGCCCAGTATTCAGTAAACACTCATCACTGCTTGCAATCAAAACCAGTCATTACCATCTGTTTTTTTAAACTACTGATGGTTTTTCAAATAGCTTTGTTCAGTTTTTAAAAACTATCTGCATGACAAATTACCTTTCTAACACAGACTGTGCCAAGGTGGCTTTCTAGGTCTAGACTATCCCTTCTTTGTGTTGCCATGAAATTTACAATTAATTTTCAAGTAGAACAGACATCTACCTTCTAGGTATTGCTTTAATTTCCCTGAGTTACCTATATAGCTCTTGAAGACTGAACTATGGAACATTATTCCTGAGGGTCTTTCAACTTCTGTCCTATATTGAATGATATTATCTTCTGTTCAGACAGAAAATCCCCTCAAATGCCTGTCTGAATACCACAACTTCTGTTTTCTGAGGAGTCCCTAGTTTGTTCTGTTCCTTTTCATTTTCCCTCATTCTCAAAAGAGCTCCTGAAACAGTATGATTTTGATCACCTGAAGGGTAGGTCTTTACAATCTAACACTGGAAGGACTATCTCCTCATTTCACAATATTGCATGATTGAGAGAGAGAGAGAGAGAGAGTGTGTGTTTGTTTTTTTTCCTCTACCCACTTATTTTTTTGCACAGCAAGAACAGCAAAACAAAGTTTTTAAAATAAACACGAGTATTTCTACAGTGTGATTCTAATTGTGTTAAAATTTCACAACCACTTGAAAAAGTGTTTTTATATATCCAGAAATAATTCTACATCTCTAAGAACTACAAAAAAAATATAGGAACTTACTTACCTTGAATAACATGAGAATTATCCTTCAGAAAGAAGTTATATAAATACTTGGGGATAAAAGCAGACATGCAGGCATACGCCAGAGCTGAAAAAAATTAGAAAAATTGATGCAACTACACAGGTAGAAACATAAGTGCCCCTAAAAAAGTTCATTATTAAGCAGATAATAAGCATAAATACTTAAATCTATCTATACATAAAACTGTAAGTGTAAAACACATAAAAAGGTCACATTCCCCATTAAAAAAATTTTAAAAGCTCCTAAAAAAAGTTCTCTTCTGTGACTGAGTAATCAATATGAAGCCTGATCTACTCCCAGTTTATTTCCATATTTCTCAGTGACAAAGCAATGAAATGATGTTTGAAAAGCCATGGTGATGTTTGATGCAAAAACTCAAGGTCCCTGGATGAATAAAATTTTAAAAGACAACTGCATTGTTGCAGTCTTCTGCGTTTTCTCCTATAGGGCTTAAACCCAGGTTATGCGCCATCAGGCTTGCATATCAATTCTTTCTTCAGCTCCGAGACAAAAGATGATAGAATTTATGAGAAAAAAACATAGAGTGGAATATAATTAAAAATATCATCAAAAAGATGGCTAAAACCATCTTAAATTTCTCAACGACTCCTCACATACATACCAAATAGAGATTAGAGGGTAAAAACTTAAGTGTTTATCCCCTCAATTAATTCCTGGGAACTTGGCTGGGAGACAATCTATTGCAATACAATCCTTAGCCATGGTGCTAGACCATAGACACAAAAGAGAAATAACAGGTTTTCTGTAAATTGTCCAAAGACAATAAATATAATTTTGGAAGTTTCTAAACAAAACATCAGATTTACAGCAAATATGACACAGGATCATGTTATAAATGAATTCTGTGTTAGAACTTTTCTAGCATTGAAACCACTTTTAAATATTTTAGCCAAATGTGTGCCATTAAATTCATAAACCAGAACACAAAATTTTACATAATTCATTACTATTGTATTTTGCTTCAATAGGAAGGAAACCAGGTCCTACAATCGAACTGTATAGGAACATGTCCAAGAGCAAGAAAAATCTGGTGAAATATTTAAATTAGCATGCACAGTAGGTATAATAGGAGTCATTGTCCTAAGAAACTAGTTTTCCCACACACAGACCTTACACAAAGCAAGCCAGGTGCAAGAGAATAGAAGATTGGACTAGACCTATTCCGAACAAATTGCATTCTAAGAAGATAAAGGCCATATGTCCAAAGCTGGTCTGATAAGCTTTTATAGGCATTTAAAACCATCATAAGCTTTTCTGAATAAAGCTAGTCTGACAGGTTAACAGTTCAGTTAACAAATAATTCATTCACATTAAAAGGCTGAACTACAGCTTCACTGAAAAAGACAAGTACTAGAGAAGCAGTTCTTGCTTTTCTATAATCAGGGTTATTTGCACTTTTTATTACATATTTTTTATCATACTTGGCAATAAACACACGGTTTGAACTCCTGCTTGAAGAGCAGTACACTACAAACACTTTTCAAAACCCAACCATTTCTTTTGACCTGTGGCAACGAGAGCTTTAAAATTCCTTTGTAGCTACAGAAGCTTTCATCTAGAAACAGGTGCATGCACGTCTGCCTACAACTAGATACAGAGGACAGAACATGCCTCCCCTTCACCCTCAGCTGAAAAAGGTACTCACCTTCATCGTTAAAATTCAGGTAGAGAAATGGTGCACAAAGAGAGTCAAGACCTGAAGAGAGAAGAGCCATAAAGAAATGGCATAAAGAGCTCATTCATTGTAACGCACAAGATGAATTCATTAATTTATGATGAAAGTTTGCATACTTGGTAGTGATTATAACTCTGCAATGTCAGGCTGCACATGTAATGCTGAGAACAACTGTACAGTCAATGCACGAAAACAGCGAGGATTTCAAATTTTTGAACTATACTGCTGAATTGATTATTATGCCAAGGTTTCCAAGAAATGCAATTTACCATCCCAAGAACTTGCTCAGTAACTTCTGCAGTTTTACCTTGGAACTGAACAATAAGCAACATTATTTACAAAAAAAAAAGGCACTAAAACGTAAAGAGAGTAAATATATAAGAAACAGTAAGGCAATTTTGCATTACAAATTAAGTAAAAATTATTAGGATCTAAATCTGTGACAATCCACAGATTCATTCTTCAAAAGAAACGGAAAGGAGAGCACTCCAAAACGGGTTACATTGTGGGGAAGGAGGGGGAGGGAAGTGATGCCATCCAGAGAGACCTTGACAGGCTGGAGAGGTGGGCCTGTGAGAACCTCATGAAGTTCAACAAGGCCAAGTGCAAGGTCCTGCACGTGGGTAAGGGCAATCCCATGCCCAAGTACAGGCTGGGCAGAGAATGGATTGAGAGCAGCCCTGAGGAAAAAGACTTGGGAGTGCTGGTGGATGAGAAGCTCAACATAAGCCGGCAATGTGCGCTGGCAGCCCAGAAAACCAACCGTGTCCTAGGCTGCATCAAAAGAAGTGTGGGCAGCAGGTCGAGGGAGGTGATTCTGCCCCTCTACTCTGCTCTTGTGAGACCCCACCTGGAATACTGTGTTCAGCTCTGGAGTCCCCAGCACAAGAAGGACATGGAGCTGCTGGACAGGGTCCAGAGGAGGGCCACGAAGATGATCCGAGGGCTGGAGCACCTCTGCTATGAAGACAGGCTGAGAGAGTTTGGGGCTGTTCAGCCTGGAGAAGAGAAGGTTCCAGGGTGATCTTATAGCAGCCTTCGAGTACTTAAAGGGGGCCTACAGGAAAGCTGGAGAGGGACTTTTTACAAGGGCATGTAGTGATAGGACAAGGGGCAATGGATTTAAACTGAAAGAGGGGAGATTTTGATTAGATCTAAGGAAGAAATTTTTCACTCAAGGGTGGTGAGGCACTGGAACAGGTTGCCCAGAGAAGTTGTAGATGCCCATCCCTGGAAGTGTTCACAGCCAGGCTGGATGAGGCTTTGGGCAACCTGGTGTAGTGGAGGATTTCCCTGCCCATGGCAGGGAGGGTGGGACTACATGATCTTTGAGGTCCCTTCCAACCCGAACCATTCTATGACTTTTAAGTCAGCCACAGCTTTCCAGTTAATTATCTATGATTCTATCTGACCTTGCCAACTAGTCAAACTCACCTTGCCAGTACACCAAATCAGGATGGGAAACAACCCAGGCCTTCAATACACGTCTAAACTTTGCGTGACCCTCTGGTGATGACAGCAATTCATCATACTGATGGCAACGAGGAATATCAACTTCAATCTGAGCCACAGTCAAGCATATAATATAAAGAGAAATCAGGGTCAGTGGGGTAGTACTACAGCGATCTTGCAACACTAGAAGTGGAAGTCAGCCAGAGAATGTAGGTCAGACCACCATCATGAACACTATCTGCTTCCTCCATCACTCTCAGAACCAAAACCGAAAGGGGAAGGGGACTCTAACAGTCCTGTCAAAGATTAAAAATAGATATTTCTCCTTTTTCCAGATTCCTATTTTTAAAAGGGTTCTAACTCTTGGAAAAGGTAGAAAGCAGATTACAGTTACAGTCTTTTTTCTAACCCAACCTTTGGACTCCTCTCAGGTGCTAATATCACTTTGCTCCAATCAGAGTTCTCAGAACATCGTACCCAATTTGATGGAAAATATTTCTTCATCCAGCGAAAGGAACAGCTGTTGCTCGTGATGTCTTTTTATGTCTGGCAAGTCTTCTTAGAGAACCTAATTGCTCAGAAGCCCATTTCTGTGAAGCACAGCTCACCTTACAGGATCTTAGGGTACTCAGCACTATCTGGTACAAGGTCCAACAGGCACAACAAACGTGATAAAAACAGGACTTTTAACAATACATCAGTAATATTGTTCACTACACTTTGTCGCTGCAACAGAAACAGTGATTCTGAAGTAAAAGGGGATTTCATTTTCCACGTTATAACATAATTTGAGTTAATCTACTTGTTCCTATCTGTTTTGTAAGATTCTTGCTACAGCATGAATAAGGTTAGAGGACAGAGGGAACCCTGTTAGTATTACCAGTCTGCTGTAATAGGCAAATGACTGACTGGTGGAGAAGATTTTTGCATTACTTCAAGTGGCAATATTTGATAACGCTGGAAGCCTTACTTGTCTGTCTGTAGGAATCGGTGTGTCTTTATCGATGGCATCATATTTGGCTTGTATGGCACCCTAAACATGGAAGAAAAATACTTGTATTTAGAAAGCCCTTACTAACATAAATGCATATTACAGTGTACACAAAAGTTGACTGTTTTTGTGACGTGCTTTAGTCAGCAACTTTTTTCTGCTGACGAAATTTCCCAAAGTACAGAAAATTCTGAAAGCTGAATTTTAACAAGACCATCTTTATTCTGTTATAATTCAGGACATATAGACCTTCCTGTGACTTCTTCAGTACAATCTCCAGTGATTTTTGAGTTGTTTATGCAGAAAACTATGTACTTGATACAGTTTTCCATTTTCAAGTTAAGAGATGCTCTCAATTTAAATTCAATGCTTACCTCAGCCTCTGGCAAGCAGCTTTCAGCACCATTTCTGTAAAGGCACTGAATCCAGCTGCCTGTTAATTAACATTGATATGACCAGTATACACTACTCTTAAGTAGCCTGTCCTTGCAGGAATCCCAAGACAGGCATGCTATCAAGTCCATCTTAATATTACGGGACAGGGAAACACTACCTGTATTGTAGAGATGGTAAGCTGATGAAGCACGAGAGCTGACTCATCTCCCAAGACTCAGGCTACAATACTGACCAGCAGTTGCTCTTTACCTTTACAGCTTTTCTTGTTTATATCATAGAGCACTCAGCAGATCACGTCTTCAGCTAAATATCCAAAATAACCTGGGATGTGGTATCTATAAGACCCTCTTTGCTGTACTACTGCAGATTGCAAGCAGGGTAGATGCAAAAGCTAGGTAGTCAAGCAATCTCTGTGAAGAGTATTCATTTCTGGGACATTCCTTTCTAGTCCTTTGTCCAAAAGGGGTTACATTTAATTTATTTATTCTTCAGTCTTTGGAGGAAGTGCATTGATTAGTTAGTAAGAAAAATATGTTTGATATGTTTCATCCTGTTTTGCCCAACTATTGCAGACTGGAGCAGAAGGATTCTAACTGCATTTGTCAAAAATATTAAAAATCAAAACAAAAACCAATCTAGCAAAATTTGGCTGTACGAGGAGTATTCTTCCATCCCCTAATCAAACTTAAAGGCAGTTAAGTTCACATACATTTTCTGAAATCAAATCATAGTAGAGACAAAAAGCAAGTCTGTCTGAACATTGTCTTTGTTCACACAATTTCAAGACTCATTTTGTTTGAAATTCCAGTAATTCTACTTGTCAAATCTTCATATCCATTCCAGCTTCCCTGTCAATCCCATTCCTATCCCAATCCCACCCCAGTCAGTACTGGAAGTTCAGCAAATACCCTTACCTCAACACCCAACAGGGCAGCCCAGGTTATGCCTCTCAGAAGAGGAGGGATGTCAACCCTGGCTTCTTTCCAAATTTGGTTTTTCTTATATGGGTAGGCCTTCAAAGAAAAGAGATTAACAGCAAAACCCGTTACAATTTAACTGAAACAATTCAAATCCCAATCCTGGGATGGTCTTTCCTCCAAAGGACAAATGCTGTCAGCCTGAACAGTGAACGCAAGTTTCAGAACAAGTAGATTTCATTCCTAACCGGAAGGTCTGGATGGAGGACTACTGTTTGACGTTAAAATACCCACTACTCCTTGTAAATGTATTCATGTGCTTTGCTATATACTGGATATATAAATTTACTAAATTTTATTAAAACTTTTTCTTCATTATATGTTTCCTCTTATACTCTGTATCCAACTTTGTTTTATCAAACATTTCTAGTTTATATCTTCCTAAGTACTGCACTTGATGACGCACATCAGCTCTCATTCTTAAGCAAGAATCTCTGCATATATTTAAATTAGGGACTGGTATTTTCACCCCTCAATACAAACCCCATACTTCTAAAATGAGACTGCTACAGTAAAGACAAGTACTGTTTTCAAGTTCCTTACTGTTGGAAATGCAGAAATGTTACCGGCATATTTATACCTATAACGGCATAGTCTGTTATGAAATATAGGATAAAGAAGTATTTTTTCAGCAAATAACAGGTATTAGCCACAGCTCTATTTTCATGCACATACTTTAAAATCTACTTTTATACTCATCACTACTAAAAAGACTTATTTCTCACATTTTTATTTTCAATCTTCCTACACTCCGTAGGGCTTTCTTCCCCCTTTCCCACTGTAGTCTCTATCTCTGCTTCCTTTTTAATTACTTGGTCCTTTAAAAATCCTCTAATTAACAGAACAAATCCAATTATCCCGCATCAGAAAGATTCCATACCTTCAACAGCCTGTCAAACAGGACGATCCTATTTAGCTGGTACTCTGTGTCCCTCTCCCGGATGATCAGAGGAAGACTAGCGGCTGCAGACAGCTCATTACTACTATTTGAATGAGGTAAAGTTGACTGGCTGGGAAAAGAGTTAGTATAGTAGTAGTGAGCAGCAAGAAATACAAGTCACTGTCAAAAAAATGAATATCCTGTTATGCATTTCTGACTCAGAAACAAGTAAAAACGGATGATTTTGAATATGCAGCACAAACAGTTGATTTTCAGAACAAAGAAACAGGCTAGGATCTTCAGTTTGGTATCAGGGCCCTCAGTCCACCACTGCAGAGCGCTTATCAGCTTTCTTTAAGAGTCAAACGAAGACATGTTAGGTTTGTTTTTGGAAGACAGTTGTGTCCAGCTGTGCAGCATGCCCCCCAAATAAAACATTATAATACCTTGAAATTTGGTCCCTTCTGTATGTACAAACTCACACACAGACACACTTACTCATCTTCGAGCAATGGATAAAATGCTTCCCCACCAACATCTTTCAGTCTCTGAAATGAAGAATAAAAATAAATCATTATCAGAATGCTGCTCAGAACTGAAGTGGAAATACTTATTAGCAATTCATTGCCAAATTTAGGAGCTTGCCTTGAGCTTGCTAAGCATTAGCTCAGTCCTCCATTAGCAAAGAAACATACAGCCTTTACCGCTAAAAACTTTTGCTAATACAGGTTTTTTGAGTTGATGGAAGTTCTTCTGCCTGAAGATAACACTCATCTCCTTCATAAACCTATTTCCACACAAAAACCAGCTTCTATCGGCCATGGATTAATAGATCAATAGTATTATGTAGTTCTTTTTCTTTTCCTTGTTTTTTCTACATGGAGTTCCTATCCAAGCAGCTGCAAAGCAACTACATGACTTGGTTTCATGTTATGCAAATTTGTGTTACTTTTAGTAGCAGCATGTGAAAGCTGCACAGAAATACAGACACTCTCTGGGAAAGTGACAGACAAGCAGGCCTGGACTTTTGCCTGAAGTTTTCAGATATCTTTGGTGCATCGTGATTAATGTTTAATACCATCCTCCCTGCAGTGCTCTGTTTTGCAGTTCAATCCCTAACTCGAAGGCATACAGTACACAGCCTGTTCCTCCTGGGATTGACAGAACAGTTCATTCTCAGTTCATTTAGCACTGATCCTCTTTTGATCATAAGCATCATGCTCTGCTCTATGAAAGTTGCTTGAAGAATTGCATAAGTTGAAAAATTTGTTTCAACTAACACTGCAAGGTTCAGGCTTGTATCTTCCCCAAAACGAAACTTCAGTATATACTTAGTTGTTGCTGTATTTATAGAAGTAGGCAACAATATCCCAAATTACAGATTAAAAAGTTTAAAAAAAAGCCTGAAAAGTTGCCCCTTTGTCCGAACAACAGTAGGAGCTGCAGTGTGTATTACCTTTAAAACAGGTGTTGCATATTCTTAACCTCCCCCCCGTCCCCCAACCAAGCAAACAAAATAACTGGTTTGGTCTATTTTCATGCATTTGTGTGAAGCAGTGCAAAGCTCTACTGAAGAAATACGTTTACACAGTATTTGCCACACTACTTTCAAAATTTAGGTAATGGTGGCAGAGATCAAGACTTCAGGAGTCACCTTCCTTTCTGTATTAACCCTTGCAATCATATGGAAATGTTTTGTTATAAAGGCTGTGATGGAACTGCATTCACTACTATCAAAAGCAAACAGTGCAGCATAAATTTCCAATTCTGCAGCAATAAAGCTCTACACGTGCAGAGACATGTGAACAATCAAAACATTTCAGTGATATATGCAGTATATCTGGTAACTGATCATTACATCAGGCAACATTTTGAGTTATCCTATGCTGACTTTTCCACTGAAGATGGAAGAAAATTGGGTTACTGCATTTTGGCAAAATGCTTTGAAGTTATCTTTTGAACTAGCTGTTTAATAGCTATATATTCCAAAGATTAGTAATTAACTGCTGGAAACTTGGTATACAGCTTTAAGTATAAAGCCTTTAAGGAGCTGCAACTGAATTTAGTTGCTTTTTCTTTTGAATGTTGTGAGCCACCTACAGACAGGAATTAAAGAATGCAAGAAGACACTCACTGTCCAATTAGTTTAGCTATCATGGAGAATATCAGGTGCTACACAACTGTTTGGGCTAAACCAGAACAAAGCAGGTAACAAAAATAAGGAAAGAGAGAGGCACAGGAAGGACATGAAGAGACAGAAGAGAAATCAAATTTATTAAGCTTTTGCACAGAAAGCAATTTAATAGCATAAATCAGAATCTGGCTCAGACACCAAGAAATATTCTCTTGGAATCAGTAACACTATCATTTGCAGGAACAGCAGTAAGAGCTGCTGTTCCATATTCCCTTTAAACAGATGTTTCTGCAGTGGAGACATAAGAACAAGTGCACAATATTCCCTCTTACGTTTCGGAGCTGGCACAGAGACAAAGTCACAGTTGTGTCATCTAGGAGGGAACTTCTATCTCGTCCTTGCCCAAAGCTCTCACCATCTTCTAATAAAAAGCTTCAAAAGGGAGAAAAAAAAATAATCAGGTCATTTTATAACATAAGAATTGAGTTAGAAAAAAATAGAAAATTCTTACATCGGTCAATTTCCTCTTTAAAACAAAACACTAGCTCTTAGAAGTATACTGTATTGACTGTGCATGGCATTAAACCTGCTATCAAGGGAACATACAATTACCTTAAATTATTCACACAGTTTTTGCTGTAAAAAGGCACATTTCAGGTTTTCCATAACTTTGGTTTGCACACAAAGGAAGAGTAATGAGATATGGGTATGGGATTAATGCTCCCTTTTATTCCTTGACCTGGCACAGACCAGGACTCTCATTTATTATGAAAGGCAAAACCAAAATATTATTGTCACGTGAAAGCCATTTCCCACCACGACAAAAAACAAGCAAAAGCCTGACCCAGACCTTTTCTGTTGCAGGACACAAATGCATCCAAGAAAAAGTACACATAAATTGTCTATTTGGTGATATTTTTAAAGCAGGCAACATGAAATTTATTTCCAGAAATTAAGCTACAAGTCTTGATATCACTTAGAAGATGGACTTAGAGTGCAATTTTGAAACTAACATCTCATCTTCAAGATAGACAGAAAAATGTTTTCCACTCATAATTCAAAAGCACATGCATTCACCTATGGGTAGAGAAACAGAGAATCCCTCAAAATCTCTCACTAATTTTGCCACCAAAATATCACTTAAAATCTAGCTCCACTTCCGCCCCTCCCGCAAGATACTGCATTTTGGTTGTACACTGACTTCATGTGTTTTTAAAACCCAGAACCAGCAAATTGATTTATATGGACACATAATTCTGCTTATTAAGATCAGATTGTAGGATTTAAATATGAATATACTACATAAGATTGCAGCATGTGCAACAGTAAGATACAAGTAGTAATAACTAAATAAAACTAAAATGCTGTTACAGAATTGTAAGTCATAAACCCAAGCATTTAAAAAAAAAAGTAATCAGCTGATCTGCTGAATGATTGGGTTGACCATTCAGCACTGCTGCTCGGTGAAAGGGAATTCAGAAAGTGAGTATTTGCTACAGAACACATTAAATTGAATTACAATTATAAATACGCTGTTGAAGCACAGTGAGACGTTTTTACTAAAACTTAATACTGTTGGAAAGTGTGCTAAATTTAGAGACTTCCAGTTCAGTATTTTGCACGTCACCTGTACTGCTCCAAATTTCAGAAAGCAATATGAAGCGTGGGTAGGCAGCAGATATAAGGCACTCAAATAAGGCTTTAATTTGGGTAAGAGGGGAAGTGACATGATTTCCTGCTGTTCAAGAACACTATTATCAGTATTTTTTGAAACATACTAGTCTCGAAACAAACAAAAAAACCAAGTCAAAATATTCTCTCAGAATCACTGGCCTTCTCCATCCATCCTGCTTCCCCTTAAAGTCTTTCTCCTTACTTGGGAAGCGTGCAGACAGGTGGCTTTGATCGAATGATTTCCTTGTTGACAAGTTCTTTCTCCAAGTCTCCTCCAGCCAAACACCAGAGATAATAAACCTCTTCAATTGATCTTTCTGCTAGGTAATCACTATCTTCATCTGTTAGGAGAAACCACACAAAAACGAGTTACAGCTTTTTAGGCAGCTTGTATTTTTGCTTCCACTCTAAACACATATTGTTGAAAAAAGAATTTATTATGCCTGAAAGGTCCTAGACCTTAATACCAAGTTAGAGGAAAAGCAATCTTCCCTTTACAAGTGCCCTTTAGGAAGATTTAAGGAAAGAGCAGATGGGCAGAAGTCAGAAAAAAGTAAATATTTCTGCAGTTTGCCTTGGTGCCAGAAAATAGAACCAATTAGATAAACGCATTGATGTGTGGACTTCTGCTTCCTGTGTGTCTCTCAAAAAAATACACAACACAGTATTTCGTACACCACAGAGGGCTAAGAGTAAAAATGAGAAAACAGTGATTCAAACTGAGTAGTTATAATGTATCTTCCCTTCACGTACCATACCCATACTAACAAGGTGTAAAAACTTAGTCTCCAAAATTGCATGAGATTTTCTAAACATACAGAAATCTGAGTTCATCAGAAAAAGCTAATGAAGACTTAAGAATGATAAAACTTTCAGCATACTGGAGTTTTAAACTTAGAAATGTCTTTTCTTATAGAATGAGACCTCTTTCACTAGGATTAAGTTTCCCAATACTTTCAAAATTCTTCTCACGCTATGATCCAGCAGAATCCAATTACCAAATCACAACACAATTTAGTGAAAAAGACTTTGTACATGCACATGTCTAAATTTTAAAGACAAAAGATGATATTGATATTCTAAGCTCAACTTGAATACTAAGGATAACTATTTATTCCCTGAGGTTGAAGCACGAAATCAAGATGCCCTCCTTCAACTTGCACACATTCCTCAAAACATTTGCCCATATCTCTGTGCATTAAACAACTTATTACAAGAATGTAGCATTATAACATTTAATAGTTTCTCTCCAACAAAATATTCAAAGAAAACGCAAAAACATTTTATTTTCCTTCCCCCTCAGTTGAAATTTATCCCACTACCTGCTTTTACCTTTACATAATTGACTTATGTCTTCGGGCAGTGTTAAATTAGCACACCTTGGAGAAGATGAGAACAGACCAGCAGGTTTGTGGAAGGGAGGATATATTGAGGATACTTCACTGAACAAACTGTCATGTAGCAATTCCTCTGGAGTTGGCCTTGAATTAAGAAAAGAAAATAAAACACTAAGAGCAAAGTGCTTCCAAAACCATTACATGTCAGTAAGAAATGTCCCCACTAACAAATATTAGGAAGTTATTTTATTGGATATTGGATTTTAGAAATTTTAATAGCAAAAAATGCCTACCAACTTTGTTCAATTCATGACACATAACACACTGCGCAGTCTGTTTACAGCCCAAGTTCAGATCTCACCTTCATTTAATGTCCACAGCAACTATTTTATTAATTCTCCTTTAATTCCTCTAAGCAGAGATGGAAAAAATGCAAATGCAAAGCCTTGATTAAAGAACAAAAGTATACTTCAGTTTTCAGAAGAAAGTTGTGGTGGACTGACATAATGAAAATTACTTTGAAAGACAAGACTTGAAGAAAGTAGTCCTAATTCTGGCTACAACAGAGCTATAGCAACCACTACCAACTTCCAGACGTGGAGTCAGTAAAAGCTGTGAACTCAGAACTACAAATGCCTGAAGAGTTTTCCCCAAAAATATTCAGATTCAATCTCAAGGGTTTGCACGCTTGATTTCTCCCCCTTCCCCCACCCTCCAATTCTTTTCCTTTAAACACTGAAAAGCAACAAAAACAAGAATTCCTTATAGGTAGCACAAATCGTCGGTATTTCAAAAAAGGTTCAGCAACAGGTCTTCTCATTTCATAGTGCCCCAGCAGAGTTTACTAGGCGTTGGACTGAACACTTGCCTCTTGGAAGGCTGGAATGTAAGGCATTTCTTCAGTAGAGCTGTGATATTTTCAGAAAGGTCCTGGAACATATGAAAAACATGGAGGAGGTCTGTTTACTACTGTCTTAATTCATCAAGCCACTTAGCTCATAGTTAACTTTTAACACACAGGCTATTCCTTTGAGGGCAATAAAACTTCACTCCCACAAATATGAGGTTAGCTGTGTCAGACCAAGGTGCTGGAGAAGTAATTCTTCTCACCCCCTAACCCTACATTTGCTTTGGGGAAAAAAAAAAAATCTGAAAGATTTACAATCTATGCAGGTTTTTGTCTTTATTTTTAATTTAGATATTCTGCACTGAGCTTGAGACAAGGCAGTACCTGGGAACTCCCTTCTGCTAATAGTCAGGATGCTTTTACACAATGTCTCAAAATATACAGACCCTGTAACTCAGTGATTAATTTTGGGGGTGGGGAGGAGTTGGACTGTATAAACCTACACTATGAGGAAGTGTGAAGTGATAGGATAGATAGGAAACTAAATTTCTGTAAGAAAAATATTTAGCCCTCAACATTGAACTATCCAGAGAGCATTAACATTTACTGAGATTGACAGTAATTTTAGGAAAGAATGAATATTACCAGAACTGGCTATTTGAAAGGATCTTAGAAATGTAGTTTAGACTTCAAAATTTTTCCTCATACTGCAACACATTAAGTGATCAAATAAGTTTTTTTAAAAAAAGTATGTGAAATACTGTGCAACAATAATAAAATGTTTTGATAAGACATGATGGAAGAGCAAACTTGTTCCACAAACCTTAATAATATCAAGGCAACCATGTTCTTCAGCCAATACAGTTACAATATCATCTACACAGCCTTGGAAAAAGAAACAGAACAGTGAAAAGTTATAGACTACGAAAAAAGTGATATCAATCGAAGAGGATATCAGATAAAACCTCACGTCAATAAAGAGCACTTAACTTTGGCTTTTTATTGACATTGTCACATCACCTGAAAGTGAATTCTCAAAATTTGAAATGAAAATTATTATCACCTATGCAGACAGAAAATTGAAGTCTAAGAAGGTTAAGTAGCACATCTAATTTAACAGTGAAAAATCTTTTTACAGGCTTAGTAAATCCAGAGTGTCAGTCTCTGCCAAATAAATTGAAACAGTCTTTCCACTTATATATAAAAAAATCCAAACCCTGACAGAACTTAAAAATACCTGCATATAGAAGCTCAAAGCAATTTTTATTTTGTTACTACTTGCAGATACTACTAGCTGTATTTCATAACTTGTTTTCAACATATTATGGAGAAAATAAATCTCAAGTCAGGACACGAGTGTTTTTCAGTGGATAAAGGTTAGCAATAACTTGCATTCAACTTGAAGGGGACTGAAATGCTTCAGGAAGCTTTTTTAACAAATCACTTACCAAAACAGGCAGAATTTCAGCACCCAAACACTAACTGCTGAATGAAAAAAATGTTTCTACTGACAGTAACTAACACTGTTACTATTTGCTCCGGATAATAACAACTTAGTAATAAAGCTCCAAATTGAAAATTCATGCCCTTCTCCTTCCCATGTATATGATTTATACATAAACCCCACAAAAAAATCAAGTTTTAAAAGCCACAAAGTAGTCCCACTGCCAGTCTCATTTACATTAAGTAGAAATTCCATGTCCATGTTAATGTTTTATAGTTTATAGGTGAAGCCAGAAACAAAAGCCTAGATCCAGTGATACACTCCTCAGCCCTCTTTATTTTCTGTCTTCCTGTTTGAGTCCTGCTTCTCCCTGCTTGGGATTTGGTACACAAGCACTGCTAGTGCAAGGACAGTTTTCTTTAGTGTCATACAATTCCTAACTCATTTCAGAAACCTCCTGCAACACAGAACAACAAATAACCATCAAAATAACAACCCTTCCTGAGCATGTTTTTTTATAGTTTGCCCTTACATTAACATGCTCATAGCTCTTCTGCAAAGTTATTTTTCCCGGCACCCACCTCTGTACCTTCCCTAGACAAGCAACCATACTTCAAATGCCTATTTAATTCTGGAGATGAAAGCTGACAAAGGGAGAGTGCCTAAAGTCTGAGCATCACAAGCTGACTAGTCTGTAAAGCTCTAATTACAGAACTGCTTGAAAAACTAAAACATTGATTTTGTGCTACTTACCTAACATAATTATAAACTTCAATCTCTCTGCTATCTCCAAACTCTGGAATAATTTTCTCCCCTAAATGAATAACAAAATCAAATCAACAGTTGAATGTTACTACTTAAAATATTTAGACAGCAAAATTTTCTAGAATCAAAAAAAGCATTTTCCAAGTAAACCCATAATTCTGTACAGAAGCTCTTTAAACTCTGGCAATAAGTCAGATTCTCCCTTCTCTCCTCTCCATGAAACTTCACTAGTTTCTCATCCTTTCCAATGAGAATGACGGCATGACAGCAATGGTTATTTCATGCTTAAAAGCACAATTAAAACAACAAATTACCTAGAGATTCTTCTTGATTCAGAAGCTATTTCTTGCTAAGAATTCCATCATGCAATCATGTCTTTGTGTCTTAACAGGCAGCAGTCCTTCACAGTTAACAGATACACTCATATCAAGTCAATATGCATCCTACTACTTGAACCACCACCAATACTGTCCAGGTAGGAATGCTAGCATATTCTGATATTTGGACTCTGGTGATGGGCAAAGTTTCATTAACCCCATACTCAAGAGCAATCAAGTTAAAGTAACTATTCCCCAAGAGTCACAATCAAGAGAATTATCCTCTTACATACCATGCAAAGCTCAAATAATATTATACCAAGAGACCACAGATCTGATTTAGGGCCAGAAGGCAGAGGCTTCTCACACTGAGTATGATCACTTGGTTTGACTATTCCCTGCGCAATTACTTCAGGTGCCAGGTATGATGGATACCTAGAAAGATGCAGTAACGTTAAATAATATCCCGTCTGTCAAACAAAACCTACCTTTCAGTACAGCAATCAAAATAATTTTGCATTCCGAGAAAGTAGAATTCATAGCAATACATATTGTTCTATTTTATTCAGTCAAAACATCGCAGCAAAGTTTCACTCCAATTGCAAAATACATAGTGCCTACTACATAAAAGGTCAAATCTTAATCACTATCTCTGTCTTTTTGTGAGAGGAAATAACAGCAGCTTTGAAAATAGTATGTCTACATGTCTCAAAGAAAACCTCTATTGAATTTCAGCACTAGTACATTAAATAAATGCATACTAGACCCATATCTGGGGGTTGTGGCAGTATACCCCTCCATTGACAGTGTTCCCATCAAATAAGTTTTGAATTCGTAAAAAAAAAAAAAAGAGCAGAAGGTGTTGAGAACACATTCTACTTGCTGCTAGATCATTTTAAAATAACATTATTGTTTTTTCTGTGAACGATTCATTATAATACTTTAAAAAAAAATAGTATCTGAAATCACCTTTCGAAGGGATACATCATTACTTCTTTTGGGCGTGCCTTTAAGAATCAGCTCAGTATTTAAATTGTAAACAACATGACACCAAATAAATAAAAAGCAGCAAGGAAACATAGCAAGGAAGCATGCCACCTTGGCTAGACAGTAAGATTTCTTGAAAATAAATCACAAAACGATTAGGAGACAAGAGGCCTGCAGTAGCGTGCAATAGTGAAGCTTTGATTGTGCTTCTTCATAAATGTGAAATTAGTTTGTACCGCCAGAATCCGAGGCACAGGCAACTACCAGCATTTGAAGGCAAATCTAGGCAATAAGGACTGACATCACAGAGTTACAGTAACATGCTTACACGGTACCCGTTCTCTGTCTTTCATTAGTTTCACCTAGTCACATGATAACCTCTTCAGTGACATTATCAGAAGCTTCTGTATAAAGAGTGTATGCAACAGATACGAATTAAAACAGCAACCTATAAGAGCCCTGTGCATACAACACATTTTTGAATATGTTTCCTCAAAACATAAATATACTTCCTGCAAAAAATACATCCCTGATACATACGTATTGCGTAGCTACGTCCTTACCCTATTGGAAAATCAACATCAACACCTTGAGCAGTCATATGGTAGAGTCCAAATTTAGCCAACTTTACATGTCCCTGAAAATGAAAAAAAAAAGGTTCAAGAGCAGCAGAATCTGACATTGGAAGAATCTATGTTTAAGTTAAAAAAAATAAAATTCAAGTTGCATTAGCTATTAGAAGACAGATAACTATAAAATGTCACCCTCTTAATTTCTGTCTCATCTATTAGGCAGAACTCCACTGAAAGTTCATAAGGTGCTTATTTCTAATGCTTTTACTTTCCAAGAGCATTAAGTAATCAGCTTGTTTGGAGTACACACGAAGATCAGAACTTCCTAAGTTACACTATATTTCTAGTAAATTATAAAGGCTTAAATACTCTATTGGACAATTTTCCTGTTTGAAAACTGTTCAGAGTGCTGTTTGAATCCTAGAACTCCCTAAGCATCACCACTATTCCCTCACCTTTTCCATTTATCCAGTCTTGCTCCTTCAGTCCTTCCCATCAACTCATTACTATCTTGCTTTCCTTAACTGTACCAACACGTATTTCAAACAAACAAGTTTTTCAGGTGCTTGCTTTTATTCTGTGGAGGCAGAAAGCTAACACCAAAACAACAAAAAACAGGCATAGAAGTTACATTGAGGTATTGCTCCTCTTGGATTTTGATCTATACTCAGCCAGCCTGCAGATGGTGCACCAGTGAAGGCTACAACGGCAAGCTATTCCAAGTGCAGAGGAAACTGATTTTAGGAGTATCTTAAAATCCTAAAGTACTTTTGCTTGTTAGATCACTATCATAATTCTAATTTGTTTACAAGTATGCTTCCTTCTTTCTTCCTCTTTTCTTTCTGCCTTCCACGCGGAGGATCTAGCTATCCTATCTAAACTGAGTAAGAAGGGGAAGGAGGGAGGAGTTACACAGACAGGTTAAGCTCTTTAGCTGTCAGTTCAGATGAAACGGATGTCCCAAGTACAACAACAGTTATTAATTTCTCCCAGTTTTTATGAACAGAGCTCATATCCCACACTACCAACTCAATAGTCCGTGACAACAGAACTGACAGACACTAGGATTTTAATAATTAAACATGAACAAAGAAATATGTTGATATCTTAAAAGTCCAGTATCAGATCACCATGAAACACAGGAAATATTATTAACAGCCAATTAGCCAGAAAAAATATTTTCCTATTCAAATAGCTAGGAAGGTCCTGTAACTAATTGCAATGATGACAAGTGGACTTAGATTACCACCTTAAGAAGAAAATGGTGAAAATAGTGGTTTGGGAGAAAGGAAAATGGAAAATGGAAATACATTTGGAATTTAGGAAACAAGGGAAAACTGTAGTTTTAAAAAACAAACAAACCAACACAACACCTTTTCCGATACGCAATATTTTCCCCATCAGAAGGGCTGCAACTGCCCAGTCCCCATATGTGACATAGCACGCAAGTTGTTGGCAGCAAAAGGCAAAACCAAAAAGCAAACAAAACCACAGATTTATTCCTGTAGCTGTACCTTTCGATCCAAAAGAATATTGCAAGGGGAGAGGGCTCGGTGGACCAATCCATGTTTGTTCATATATTGCAAACCTTGCAAAACCTCATATGCTATGCATAAGATCCTTGAAGAACTGGAAAACAAATTTTTTTTTTTTTAAAGTTATACTCAATGTTTCCCCTTTTGATTTTTAAAAATTTAGAGCATTCCACGGGTATTCCAACCACAAGTAAAACATTTACAATTCCAGAACAGTTTGAGGGATCAACACTGAATATGGCAGGATATGTTCAGTGCCATACATAACTCCTCAATATCCCACAATTTGGTTTCTTCACACTGAACTGGTTCCTAAAAACAATAGAAAATTGTGACAAAGCATAACATATTCTCTGTGATCGAAACTATGAGATACACTTCAACCAATTGGGAGGGCAAAAAACCCCAACTCTCCTTTATTTTTATTTGTTCTTCATAAGACTACTATTATATTCATAGAGAAGTTCAACTGAATAAAACTTTTTGAAACTCAGATGTGAACAGGAGCTTATCTAGAAGATAATTGTATAGACACACCTAGATCACATCTACAGTGTTTGGTCATCTCAACGTCTCTAGAAACAAAAGAAAGCGCATAAAACTTCATTTTCAGGACATTTAGGTTTACAACCTTGGAAGCATCAGCCTTACCTCTTTGAAGAAAAACAATAAAGCTTACCATCTAAACCATTTTGACATAACTATGTTATCATTTACTCTAAGAAACAATAGCCCTGAAAATGAGTTTCTGTGAACAAGTGTACAGGAGTTTGTATGGAGACCATCAGTATATGGCTTCCAAAGTGCACTCGAAATAAGAAAAAAAGGCACAGATCTAACGTCACCCAGAGAGATTAATTTTAACTTTTTACCCTCCTCATTTCCCACTCACTCCCCCTCAAAGCGCATTTCAGGTCTGTTTGGCCACTTTATCTCTGAAGACACTGGTTTACAAAATGTCCAGAAAACAAAGCACATCTAAAGGCCTAACTTTACATTCCCTTTTTTTATTTCATTGTTAAAGAATAACATTCAATAGCATTCTAGACAAGGCTCACCATCTTCTCTTGCTTATTAAAAATTTGTGCAACAGCAAAAGAAGGGGGTGCATTACAGACTGGCAAGAGCGACAAGCCAACTAGCTGACTAAGCATCAAAATTAATTTCTTTATTAAAGCTTTATTAGCTGCTATTCATACCTGTTTGAACACCAAACCTTTGTCACAAGAGTGAATAGCTAGATTTTCATGAAAGTCACAATTTCAACAAATTCTGAGACTAGGGTAACACATAAATACTGACAAGAGCTGCTTTAATGGTAGCCTAACACCACCATTAAGTTACCTTACATGGAGCTATTCTCTAGACTCCAGTCTTTTTCCCAGAAGGAGAGCTCAGTACTACTTTACACTAGTTGTGAATATACACTTTTAAGTTAAATTTTAAGCACAAAGGGAATCTATTTTAACATATGTCTACACTGCTGTATCTTAGATCATAGCATTTGGAAGTGATTCTCAAGGTCTTAGCAATTCAACCAAAACCACATGGCTAATAACCACAAAACCAAAACAAAATCCCACAAAACCATCTCGCTTCTCCCTCACTGGCACTTTTTCTTCCCCATTCCTCCTGCCCCTAAGTTGTATAATACACCCCAGCATCAGACACCACGAGCTGTGTAATGTATCCTCCCAGTCATCTTTGGGCAGAGATATAACTGTGGTACAAATAAATTTACCTTGCAATCCGTCAGCTTCCCTGGGCAGTTTTTTGCCTGCAACACAAATATTAACAGCAATGGCTGCAAACAGAACCCTCTCTCTCGCTTTTTGCACAGCTTTGCAAAACACAACGGGAAAAATAAACGACAGAGAACTCGTGTTTCCAGTAAGGAAACAATTACAGGTGAAAAATTAGTACGTCGTGAGGTATTTTAGCCTAAAAAGTATTAAAAAATAGCAGTAAATGTGCAGTGCAATTTTGTGCCTGAGGCGTGCAGTGTGCGCCGGCGGCACTAGGGGGCCTCAGCCACCCAGTTATTCTCCGTGATCTCTTCGAATTCATGAAAATAAAACCGGTGCAAATGCCTGAAAATACTCCTTTTGGATTCTTTGCTTTCCAAGATAAATCCTCCATGGCGGAACAACGACCAGCAGCACACGAACGATCAGTATTTTTCATTGCAGATAACTCTCAGTGTTCTTAAGCACTCAATGCTGTCCTGCTGGGCAAAGCCTCCAGCCAAGTAGCTCAGCCTCAAGCTGGAGCAGGTCCACCATCTCCCCAGGAGCGAGGGAACTCTGCACAACAAGCTCTTCATAGCGCTGTTGCACGTTGTCTGGTTTTTATTTCATTTATTAGGTAAAACACACTGTTGGTGGTTATTACCCGTGAGATTTGCATTTAATTGCAAAAGGTCTGATAACACCACTCACCACTCTTATCAAGCAGAAGAGCTCTCTCTGCTTTAAACTCCCCAAGGCCAAGTTCAACAGCAGCCCCTTGCCTCACTGAAGATGACTATCAAGGCTATCTCCTTGCTTCAGTGGGCCTCAGCTCTGTCCAAGTTTCTACAGTCACCACCAACACTGCAAGCATTGCAACAGAGTTCTCCAAGCGCAGAAGGTACACCCATGAAGCTGCCTCCGCGCTTCAGGTTAAGTTGACCTTCAAAACAAAACAAAAAAAAAAAATCAACAAAAAAACGCACAGTCCTAAGCATGGAGGATGTTTACAAGACCTAATGTTGGTGGCAAGGTCTGAGCAAAGTCAGAAACTTTTCCCTGATTATCTGGAAGCCTGTTTTCCAGTAGACTAGCCAGTGTTGAACTATGACAGATGTAGAGGAGTGGTTTAGCCTCTGCTAAACTGCAGAGGTTTCAGCACCCTCCTTTAATAGGAGGTGAAGGGAAAAAAAACAACAGTGGAAGCACTAGAGACAACACAGGAGAAAAGGTGGCAAAACGGAGGCATGGCATGTTCGACACCAACCACGCTACACCACTGACCTAACAAGAGCTGTAACGACAGTTGTGTGGCACGAAATAACCTGTTCATTTCAGCCACTGACCATCATGGTTGTGACTTTAAACTATTGTGAAGTAAATCATTCCACTGCTCAAGGCAGAAAAGGAGGTGAGTAGGTAGTGTGAGATGCGCTTCAACAGCTGGCAGATCTGAAAGGGTGCTAGTTATCTCCAGTTTCCTAGCTCTCCTAACAAGACTTGTTTTAAGGTTCTTTTCCTCTCCACCAACAGGAAAAAGAGAGAAGAAACAGGAGTTTCTTTGCAACAGGAACATTTTGCAGACAGAAAGAAAGGCATGATGTCTCTACAACTACCAGCACAGTTTCAAGGAGTAAACTTCATTTTAATCTTCAAGCTGGATACCAACAAATCCACTCAGCTGTATCCTACTTAGCTACACTTTTGAAAAAGGGGTTCTCTTCAAGTGAAAGGATTGCACACCGACGTAAAAATGAAACTTGTTGGATTTAATAATTGCCTGCTCTTTTCTTGGTTTGGAGAAGAAGAAATATAGCCATGAAAAGGGGCCATTTTCTGTGCCTTCATTCTAGAAAAGAAGAATTAAAAGAATATAATGATTAAAACCAATACCAGGGTCAATTCTGTAACTTGAATGTATAGAACCATAGCAAAAGAAGCAAAAAAGATAACTGTATTCCTCTCTCAGAAATTAATTCTGTAAGTAGGGAAAAAAAGGAAAAAAAAAATCTCTACAAGTTGATACGAGCAAGTTCAGCCAATAGTACAAAACCAGCATGGTTAAGAGAGGCATATGCATGGCATTTGTGGGTGGAAAGAGAAGAGAAGACGACTTAAAAACCCACAAAAATGAGGATTGTTTTATTACCTCCAGAATTTGTCAGACCAAAAGCTGTACCAGACAAATGACTAATTTCCACACTGTAATAGTACACAGGTGGCTGCATTGTGCCTTCACAAAAAACATTAACTTTTCCACTTAGCAGTCAGCCTGATCTCCAGCCTGTTGAATTCTTACTGTTAAGGCCACAAAGCCGTTTTCTGGAAGTTTACTTCAGGAATAATGAACTTAACCTGTCAGGAAACAGATGTTTTAGCAGAGTTTCAATCTCTTGTGGTGCTGCAAACCCACTGATGAAATAACCTGATTGTTTAGGACATTTTGTCATTTTTTGGATTCAGACAGAGGAAAAAAACCAAATCCTCTTCTTAGTGAGCCCACTACAATCCTCCATCTGACTGAGAACAGCTTCTGGGCCAGGATGAAAGGGAGAAGAAATTGGCATACTGGGAGTCTTGCCATTCTTCAAAAAGATCAGATATTAACAAACAGCAAGAGAAGGAAAGAGGGATTTATCAGGAACCAAGTAAAGATAATAAGCTGCTAAAATAATCAGTGGAATGGAGAGCTAAGCATGAGTGTACTCGCCCAGTAGTGACAGAGCAGTACCTGGGAACAAACATCTAGGGATTATTGCCCAAGTCATAGGTCAACATAAGCGCAAGATCAAACAAAAAAAAGGCTGGAAACCCATTTAGAAATTAGGAAGTTTATGACAGAAAGGTGGGATTCTAAATTCTTGAAAAAAAACCCTCTAACAATATTACCTATGTATTATTCAGTCTGGACAGTTATTTATTAACTTATTATTTCTAATTATTAATGGGAACGATAACACAGCTGCTTGCAAAACCAGGAAGTTGGACTCCAAGATAGGACACTCAAGGAACAAACAGCTGATTACTTTCGTTTTAGGTAAAATTACTGGTCTTCCAAACCCTACAAATGGTCGTACTAGGTCAGATCAAAAACTTTTTGAAACCAATATCCTGTTTCCAAAAAAGATGACAGGCAGATGCCTAGGAGAGAAGGAACACAGAGCAAGCACATATGAAATGTTCCCTGATGTTCTCCTGGCTTCCAACCTCTTTAATTCAAGCTTACTTCTGGGTAAAAAAAAAAACAGAAAAACAAACAAAGAAAAAAAAAACAAACAACAACAAAACAACCAAACTCCTGAGCATCACGTCTGATAAAGTTAGAACAAAGTAATCCCTGCAAGCCTCCACAACTCTTCTAAAAGGA